TCCAGAGGCGCCAAAGTGGTTGCTGCTAGGATGCTGGATGAAGCGAAAAAGGCAAGCAACGTTTACTGCATGTTTAAAAAAGACTAACAGTGTAAGTAGGCGGGACCGATCTGTCTGTTTATGCATGTTGGTTCTAGTTTCAGTACGTTGTTGTCAGTGTTGGGACTTACTCGTTTTAAGTGCCAAAGCCTCATTGCTGACTTTAACAAGTCTCATCTACATATATGATCCCTCATGAAGTTACTACTTTACATCAGAAGATGGTGGAGATTTGTAACCTTCAGGCTGAGCAAAGTTTGGGAGTTTTTAGATCTTGAAAAGTGCCTCCCACCGTGAGGCTCCCAGTCGGGGAGAGGCAGAGATGGGCGCAACATTAAGAACGCAAATATTAGATAAAACGTATAATTGCCGGCAGGTCTGGTCTTTGTTGACTGATCACTTTGTCTGGTAATGACTGACTCCGATTATGAAGCAGAATGTTGACTCTGATGAAGAAATTCACTCATCCAGCTGGGAAGATTGAGCTGCTGCAGCATCAGACAGCTGGTGCTGCTCGAGAGGTGTGTGGAGTTTACAAGCTCCAAACGTTGGGTTTGATGTTTGTTTAACCTTCTCTGGGACGTGATGGATGTAGAAACTATGGTAAAACAGCGCAAACGTGACAGACGTAGCGACAATGTAAAAAAAAAAGCTGTAAAAAAGAGGCAGATGCCGATGAGTGTGTATGGAAGTCAAGTGTGCCACATAATCATAAAAAATAAAATATAAAATTTTAAAAGAGATTCATACATTTATATATAAATTAAAACTTTCCAAATATAATGAAAAATTCTAAATAACGTAAAAATACGAAGGAACATTTGTTGGTCAGGCTGAAAAGTTTGGCAACTACTGCTCTAAGTGATAAGTGAATTTCGTTTTTTAAATATATGTTATGTGCAGTTTTTTAGGGCTTTCTGTAAAGATTGCTATGCTGAAAATCATTTAATGTTTTGCATAAAGCATGAGGTTTTGGTTAGTAATTGATTGGGAGACTAACAAATGACTGAATTAAATAGTGGGGTGCGTCTGTCAGTGCGCCCCAGGGCAGCTGTGGCTACATCGTAGCTCATCCCCATCAGTGTGTGAATGAATGAATGATACACTGTAGTGTAAAGCGCTTTGGAGTCCTTACTCTGAGAGGCGCTATACAAGTGTGGATCACTTATCATTTATAGTGTTGATCAGGCAGAGGTTTGTTGCCAGCGTTCCACTGCATAATGGCTTCAAACACGTATATAAAAGTGTTCGTTTTTTACATAAACCATTGGATGAAATTACACAAACTCACTGAGCTCTAGTTAAGGCGCTTGCAATAGTTTGTGTTTTTAGAATTTAGAGATTTTAGTGCAGGCTGCTTCACAATGCTGTCTCGAATTGCCCCTCGGGGACTAATAAAGTTGTCTTGAGTCTTGAGTCTTGAATGTGTATGTGTGTGTGTGTGTGTGTGTGTGTGTGCGTGGTGCGTGCGTGTGTGTGTGTGTGTGTGTGCGTGTTTGGGGGAGGGCACATTGGAACTTTGTCCCCCCCAGTTTGAAAATCCTATCTGCGCCCCTGATTGAATCCCAATTGGATCTTTTTTTTTTAATCTCCGCCACAGATCTCTCTGAAGAATTCACAACATTGACGGCTTCAGCAACGCTGTGCCACTCTGTGGATTTTCTCTTATTTGTTTTGCAAAATCACTTCCTTTCATTTCTCCACCTCACCCACAGGTAGCTCAATTTCTGATTCTGTGAAATTGTGCTTCCTTGATCTGCCTTGATCTACGGTCGCCTTTGTCATTGGAGGAGCGCTGCAACAGCCGGCTTATGTATATGCATGAGATCCATAAGGCACTTTGCATTGACTATTTATGGCAGTGAGCGGGCGTGGTGAGGGCGGGATGCGACTAAAAAGCAGCTGAGAACCTTTCTAGATAGTCTCCGATTTATGAAGAGGAGATTGCGTGCAGCTATGCGTACTCCATGTTTGATAGATCACAAACCTACTTGGCGTAAGTACTTTTTTTTGCTGAGCTTAAGTATGGTTTTAGTAAGGATTCAATGCAATGTTTGATAAATGAGACCCCTGGTGATGATCTCTAGCAGTCATTGGGTTAGAGGCAGGGCGACACCCTGGACAAGTCTCTAGGCCCTCGCAGTGACACAAGGGAACCACTACTGTTCACACGCTCACTCCTAGGGGCAATTTAGAGGTTCTGGTTAACCCAACATGGTCTGGTCTTTGAGAGGAAACCAGAGAAGCTGGAGAAAGTCCACAGATGCATCAGGAGATCATGCTGACTCCACAGAGAAAAGCTGCAGCTGCTATTTGAACCTGTGACTTTCCCACTTTTCCCACCTTGCCTGCAGGTGGTGGTCGGAGGGACCGGTGGTGCCTGTGTACAACAGACTCACACAGGGGCGTAATTTAGGACTGAAGAAGATCCGGGGCTTAACACACACACGTGACACGCACTAGTCAACATCATATATGTCTTGTACCACATAATTTTTAATCTGAAGCTACATATTAAGCATTTTCAGGGCAGAGTATTGTTCCTGTTAGTGTTTAGTGTGAGATGATAGTAAATATTCCCTTTCTTTCTCCATCAACTTTACCTGATAAGCTAACTTTAGGCAAACCAGCAGCACAACAAACATTTTCAAATAAGACTCATAAACCTGAGTCAGCACCAGTCTCATCAAAGCTGGGGTTCTGTCGTTGTACTTTTTTGTCTAAAAAATGTCCTTATGTCCATCTTCACTCATGCGTTTCAGGCAGAGACTGCAGAAGAAGTCGGCTGCTGAAGGGCTTCTTCTTCAGTGGTGGAGGCTCAGGCAGGCTGTATACAAACTACTGCCAACTGCTCCCTCTCTGTTGGACTTTGGTACTGCATGTTACTTCCGCGATATAGATCCGGGGCTTTCCAAGAAACATCCGGGGCTTCAGCCCAAGTAGCCGGGCCTAACGCCGCCCCTGGACTCAAATCTGTCAGTGTGCCACGGGGCAGCTGTTACAATGTAGCTGATCACCTTCAGGGTGAATGAATGTATGTGAGAATGAGTGAATGACTGGTTGGGTTGTAAAACACCTTGGGGGGTTCCAGGACTCTAGAAGGTGCTGTATCAAATACAGGCCATTAACCATCACTGTGAGCAACAGTGCTACCAACTGAGGCACCGCTGACCTGATTTGTTTCACTAAATACATAAACATAAACTAAAGAAAACCATCTAAGTGTTTTGGGACTGAGTGAATTCAATAAAAGTACAGATGACCTTCTAAATGAACTGAAGAGATGTTCTCCATCCACCCATCCACTTATCCTTGCAGGGTTGTGGAGGAGGTGTTTTCAGTGAGAGAAACAAACTATAAAGGAGCACCACAACGATAACCTATTTTAAATTTGTTTGAATGGTTTTTTGCTCCAATTCTTATTGAAGTCACAGCATCACCAGAACCAATGGCTACTAGAACCAGACTGCCCCACTGACCTGAAACAAGCTGAGAGCGTAAACCCCGAGTGAACACAGAGCCAAGTGTGAGCCTTTAAACAGGTGAGCAGTGACTGGTTTCACCTCTAGGGGCGCTGCTTCACAAAAAGTCTGAGGATCTATAAAATCTGTGGATTTTCCCTCAGATTAGGATCTGAACTGGAACATAAAGTAACTTTATTTTTTTATAATTTTATTCAAAGATGAATCTTTGTTAGAAATGTTCTCCTAAAACAAATGAAACACAAACAATAAATTTGCATTTTAATGGGATAGTGCCTGCATCTGACACACACTAACTAGGTGTGTATCTTTTGGCTGCTGCTGTTCAGACTCGATTTGCTCCTTTCCTCCATCTCACAAACACACACTTATTGTCAGCTATTGTCAATATGTGAGCTGCACAAGGATGCAATGAGAGAGTGTAATGATGCTACCTGACAGCCCATTAAACCGGAGAGGGATGAGGTTGCAATTAGGTTGTCATCCACACTGGAGTTACTGCAGAAGAAACAGATGGGAGGGGAGAGAAGGCACCAAAGTTTGGTTTTAGGAGGAAGACAAGTGTTTTCAGGGTGAGCGGGCTGATTCGTGCTCTCATGTCTGTCAGGAGGTCCGATGATTGAGAGGTGATGATGATTATGAGATGTGATCAGCTGTGTCATAATGTTCGCCCGGATTCAGCAGCCGAGTTTAAAGGACAAGCTGCACATGAAGCGCCCCTCTGGGAGAAATAAAAGTCACTTCATCCTCTGGAAAGAACAGACTTCACTTAGAACGGAGCTGCAGATGTACCTGACAGCCAGCGAATGCAGATGTGTGATGTTTAAAACTGCAGAAAGAACAGGGAGTGGTTTACAAGTCAGTGAGAGGAGAGGAGTTTGGGAATCACAGCTGGGTGGTTTAGGAAAATTGTAAAGCAAGGTCAAAAGGTTACATTCTGAATCAGCTTTTTGTTTTTTACTAAATGTTGCAATTTTAAATAAAAACCAGAAGTTAAACATTTTTAAACAAAGTGATTTAGACCGTTGAGAATACAAGTTTGCAGAAATTAAACTTACATTTACAAGCTTTAAAACAGACCAAAAATTTAATAAAATATTTGTTGCTATAAAAATTATCTCTAAAACATGATCGAAGGTTGTTTAAGCATCTCCATCTTTTTGGCTGTGTTAAAATCAACGAAAGCAGGTAGAATACAGTAACCAGCTGCTGCCAGTAGGGGGTGTGATGTTCCATCAGTCGAGCTGCAAGCCTCCTTCTGGGTCAGAACAGTTCTGATGGATGCCTGGGTCTGGTCTGGGGAGACATCCGGGTCCAAACATCTGGACTGAACCAGATCTGGTTTTTGTTTAGAGGCTGTAGATTTATTCTGACACAAGTTTAGTCCTGATTTCGTTTATCTTCTCATTAATAGCTCAGTGATACAAGTATGATGTGAAATTAGGTGAAATATTAAATCTGAACAGAAATGTATCAAAATCAGTTGTGAGTGTAACTTTATTTAGGAGATTAAAGTCGAGTTGCTGTTTCAAACAAGGCGAGACAAACAGAATTCATGATTTATTTTACATTTGAATCAACTTTTAAAGAAGAGCTTTTTATATTTGGCAAAAACAAAGTTTATGTCAAAGTTGAAAGCTAATTTTAAAAAGTGAGATTAAAAGCAACATTCGGTCTACTGGCTAAATTCAGGTGGTTCTGAAGTTAGAATATAAATAGTGACGGTGGTTATTCAATTATTTAACATAAAAATAAAAGTTATTAAATCAAATGTAACCATTTAATGTACATATGAAAATTTATATTATAAAAAAATACTGTTCAGAATTTTGAAAAACCTGAAGCAGACTCATGAGGCCAACATGTCTCTCATCCAACAGTTTCATGGGACAGGACCCCTCCCTGTTAGTTGGATGTTGCTTTGGATTAAAGATCATCTGGTTGATCTGTGCAGTGCAGAGCAGTTGTTTATGCACACGTTCAACTTGAGAAAACTGAATTAAAACAAATTTTTTATTAATTTTTGGCTGATTTTAAAACATCATCAGACATGCAAAACAAAAAAACTTAGATTTGATTAAAGATTCACATTTATTTATGTTCATTGGTCTTAAACTTAAAATGCCATAATAATAAGGCTATATTGGCTATTAACAGACAAATAAAGACACTGAAAATTAGAATAATACAAATAAAAGTTCAGCTAATCTTCCAAAGGGAACTCTTTGTTTTTACTGAATCAGCTTCAGTCGCATCTGAAAGGCTTAGAGACGCAGAGGCGGAACTGAAGTGTGAGGTGCCGAGGAGCTGTCCGGACCGGCGCGGTGCTGAACTCCCCACCAGCTCAGCCGAACCACACCTGACCAAACAATTAAAGGACATTTCTGATCCAGAAGTGGCCGCAAGAAATATCCTTTAATTGTAAAACCAGGTGCAGCAGTGTTGGTTCTGTCTCCTGCTGAGTCCCTCAGGGCTGGTCATTCATTCACCTGGAACAAAATCACGGGACATGATAGTGACATCACGTTCTCATAATCAGTCAGAGACTAGAGGACACAGAGACCGGACAGGGTGAGATCCCTTCGGGGTGTGACCGCAGTGGTGTCCAGGAGTGTATAGCTCCGCTTTTGCTGCAGGGACCAATGTGAAAACTCCCCCATATCACCCCCACCCCAATTCACGCCCGCCCACCCCACTCAACCCTCCGCTCGTCCTCCAGATGTGTCTACCCGGTGTTCCTTCCGTTTTCGAGGTACTTGAACATTGCCAGCAGATTTTACGCACAGAGCGAAACGGAAACGGAAACCCTGCGGCGTCCTCTGCCAGACTTCTGAACAAGTGTTGAATGAGGACGCAGATGGGGAGAGAAGTCTGACATAAAGGCTGGATTAGATCCGTGCGCAGCGCGTAACACAAACCTCTCCAAGGTGCTGTCGGAGACGAAGCGCTAATGTTTGACTCTGCCGACATTATGCCACTCTTCACAGAACACCTTCCACTGATGGAATCAGACAGAAAGATATCCGCCCTCCTTTTCTCTTTCCATCAGCAGATATTTAAATGACACGAAGCCCAAATGCACCAATATTTACGCACGGAAACGGGAATCGGAGCATGAGTGACGCGACGTGTCCGCAGAGTTAATCCGACATGTCAGAGCTCCCCGTTCCTCAGTAGGTTACTCATTGGGTTTAGTTTCAACAGCGATCATCGCGTGAAGAAGTGTCTGTAAGTTCATCACCGGCACCCACCACCAAGCCGGTTCTTCTGTCTCCAAATCATCCCCCAGAACCTACCGACAAACACAGGGGCGTTAAAAACCTCCACGCCGCAGTTCGTCTCGTCCGTGGTGCGCTCCTGCTCCCATCCATACCTCATCCCTCCATCTCTCTCCATCTCCATCCCTCGCCTCTTTTCTACGGTCCGGCTTCCAGCGCCGTAGATAGATGCTCTGCAGTCACGTGGGACGGACGAGAGAGACGGATAGAGAGAAAGGAGGGTGGGAGAGCGCGTCCCTCCTCCTGCTCCTCTGCAGTTTGCAGTGTGTGATGTCTCAGACTCAGAGGTAGAGAGTCAGAGCTGGTCGTCCGGCGGATCTCAGCCTCTGAAACAAACCCCCGATGTCTCCTCTCATCCTCCCCCTCTCCCCCTTTCACCTACCCAGCTCAGTCTCTCTCCGGAGCCCTGGGAGCTTCTCTTTCTCTCTGTTTCCGTCCTTCTTTCTCCTCTCCACTCCGGCCAAGACTTTCAGCTGTAGGATTTAGTTTTATTTTCCTTGGTGAAGGTCTCTCCCGACACTTTTTCCCCCTTCTGCCGCCTTTACGCACCAAGGCTCGGTTCGGATTTCACTGACAAGAACCCCCAGACTCGGCGAGGTGGATCGGTGGATGCGCCTCTTTGGCTCGGACTGGAGATGGAAATGCTGATATTGTTATTTCATTCCCTGTGGATATTGCAATGCAACACAGTGAGGGCCGACTCCATCATCCACATCGGTAAGACACCGAAGCGGCTCGCTTCTTCTCCGGTTTGCTGCGCAGCGCTTGGGCTGATTCGGGCTGCTGGGAGCAGGGACGAAGGATGCTGATGAGCTGGAGGAATGATTTGTGTTTTTGGATAGTAAAAGTTAATGCGCTGATGTCCAAACATCTCCTCACTCGTGCAGAAAGAAATCGGACTCACATGATTATTATTCTGATCCGTGGCAGAATATGAGGCTGTTGCATTTAGGCGCAGACGCACCTAGAGCGGATAAGTGCGCCCTGCAAAGTGTTGCGTTATTCATCCATCCATCCATTCATCCATCCATTCATCCCTTCTTTCTTGAAAAAAAAAACCTGAAGCTGGTACCAGACACCGGTCCGTCGTGGGTGTTTTAGAGGGTTTCTCTCCATCTATTCACCCTCGCTCACCCCTACTTCCCCCACCCTACTCTCTCACCCCTCTCACATCTCCTCCCCTCTTCAATAAGCGTGAACTTTGAATTGCACGTGAGTGAAATGTTAATCAACTCCAGCGGGAGAGGAGATGACAGAGGGGACAAACGGCGACTGTTCAAGCCGAGGGACCAGCAGGCCGCTCCGCCTTCATCTACAGCCATGTCTCATTCAGACTGGTCACTTTTTAGAGACCCCCCCCCCCCCCCAACACACACACACACACACACACACACACACACACACACACACACACACACACGCACACACACACACACACACACACACACACACACACACACACACACACACACACACACACACACACACACAAACACACACACACACACACACACACACACTCCCCAGGTTTAAGGGGGAGGGTGTCTGAAGAGCACACACTTGGAGCCACTGCAGATTGTGCACGAACTTAGAACAATTCAGCTTTTCCCAGCTATGACATCGAGGGTGGTGTGCGTGTGTGTGTGTGTGTGTGTGTGGGGGGGGGGGGGGGGGGGTTCACATGTCCTGCAGCTCGGAGCTTCATACCAGGTTGGTGGCAGCACTGAGGTGGCAAGTATAGGGAGGAAGGGGAGGCTGCCGAGTCTGTCTGCTAAGACAAATCTCAAGTTTCTGTGAGCCCAGAACTTTCTAATTATCTGGTGAAGGAAACATCTCCGACATGCTGATTGTATTCAGCTCAGCAGACCTCCAAAGGAGCGTTTTGCTTCTACGATAACAGAATACAACAGATAATCTTACAACACAGACAGCCAGGGATGAATGGATGAATGCACAGATGGATGGATATCATTTGCACTCGGGGGGAAATCAGCATTCAGCCAAGACAACACAAAACAGTGATGTGGGATTATTACAAACAGAACAGTAAATACATCAGAGCAGGGCGAGAGGGAGCCGACACCGGTAGACAGCTTGTTGGAGCTCTAAGATGATCTAGGAGAGATTAAAGAGGAGAATATCAGCTGGAAATAAACATTGTGTTGTTTAGATCAGACTGTTTCAGGTTAGAATACACTGAAGGGTCTACACCTGCAGAGGGACCTGTGGTAACCAAGTCACAGCCACACAAATAGGTGTGAGGGTGAAGAAAACATCTGGCACCAGTCAGCTGGATCCCTGCAGTTCCTGATAAAATGACTGCCCGTGGTTTGGAGAGTAAGCTGAAGTTGGAATTTATGCAGGCTGATCCTTCAGATTCCAACACTCCCTCAGTCTCAGTGAAACCAATTTACAGCTGGAAATGAAAGTCTTTGGGCCTGTGGCTTTGTTGGCTGATTCATCCATCCATCCATTTTCATCTGCTTATCCGGAGTCGGGTCGCGGGGGCAGTAGCCTAAGGCGAGAGGTCCAGAATTCCCTCTCCCCAGCTACTTGGGCCAGCTCCTCTGGGGGAATCCCAAGGCGTTCCCTGGCCAGGTGATAGACATAGTCCCTCCACCATGTCCTGGTTCTACCTTTAGGTCTCCTCCCGGTTGGACATGCCTGGAAAACCTCACCAGAGGCATCCAGGAGGCACCCTGACCAGATGCCCGAGCCACCTCATCTGGCTCCTCTCGATGTGGAGGAGCAGCAGGTCTACTCTGAGCCCCTCCTGAATGACCGAGCTTCTCACCCTATCTCTAAGGGAGAGCACAGCCACTCTTAGGAGAAAATTCATTTCGACCGCTTGTATCCACAATCTCGTTCTTTCAGTCACTACCCAAAGCTCATGACCATAGGTGAGGGTTGGAACGTAGATCGACCGGTAAATCGAGAGCTTCACCTTCTGACTCAGCTCTCTCTTCACCACAACAGACCGGTACAATGCCCACATCACTGCAGATGCAGCACCAATCGGCTTATCAATCTCACGCTCCAGTTTTCCCTCACTCGTGAACAAGACCCCGAGATACTTAAACTCCACCACTTAGGACAGGACCTCATCCCTGACCCGGAGATGGCATTCTACCCTTTTCCGACTCAAGACCATGGTCTCAGATTTAGAGGAGCTGATTCTCATCCCAGCTGCTTCACACTCTGCTGCGAACCACTCCAGCGAAAGCTGAAGACCCTCCTCTCCAGAACCCCTGAATAGACCTTACCAGGAAGGCTCAATAGTGTGATCCCCCTGTAGTTGGAACACACCCTGCTGTCCTCCTTATTAAATAAGGGGATCACCACCCCGGTCTGCCAGTCCAGTGGGACTGCCCTTGATGTCCACGCGATATTGCAGAGCCGCGTCAGCCAACACAGCCCCACAACATCCAGAGCCTTAAGGAACTCCGGGCGGATCTCATCCATCCCCAGAGCCTTGCCACAGAGGAGCTTTTTAACCATCTCAGTGACCTCAGCACCAGAGATTTGAGAGGCCAACCCAAACTCCCCAGACTCTGCTTCCTCACTGGAAGATGTGTCGGTGGGATTGAGAGGTCTTCAAAGTATTCTGCCCACCGATCCACAATGTCCTGAGTAGAGGTCAGCAGCACACCGTGCCCACTATAGACAGTGTTGGTAGCGCACTGCTTTCCCACCCTGAGGTGCCGGATGGTGGACCAGAATCTCCTCAAAGCCGTACGGAAGTCTCGCTCCATGGTCTCACCGAACTCTTCCCATGCCTGCGTTTTTGCCTTGGCGACCACCCGAGCCGCGTTCCGCTTGGACTGCCGGTACCCGATAGCTACCTCTGGAGTCCCACAGGCCAAAAAGACCTGATAGGACCCTTTCTTCAGCTTGACAGCATCCCTAACTGCCATTGTCCACCAGCAGGTTTGGGGGTTGCCACCACGACAGGCACCGACGATCCTGCGACCACAGCTCCGGTTGGCCACCTAAACAATGGAGGCATGGAACAGGGTACATTCAGACTCAATGTCCCCCGCCTCCTCCGGAACATTTTGGAAGTTCTGTCAGAGGTGGGAATTGAAGCTCCTTCTGACAGGAGACTCTGCCAGACATTCCCAGCAGACCCTCGCGATACGTTTGGGCCTGCCTGGTCTGACTGGCATGCTCCCCCACCTTCTGAACAAACTCATCACCAGGTAGAGGTCAGTTGACAGCTCCGCCCCTCTCTTCACCCGAGTGTCCAAGACATGCAGCCACAGGTCAGATGAAACAACAACAAAGTCAGTCATCGAGCTGCGGCCTAAGGTATCCTGGTGCCAAGAGCACATATGGACACCTTTATGTCTGAACATGGTGTTCATTATGGACAATCCATGACTGGCACAGACGTCCAATAACAAAACACCACTCGAATCCATATCAGGGGGGACATTCGTCCCAACCACACCTCTCCAGGTCTCACTGTCGTTGCCCACATGAGCGTTAATGTCCCCCAGCAGATCGAGGGAGTCACAGGAAGGAGCGCTTTCCAGCACCCCCTCCAAGGTCTCCAAAAAGGGTGGGTAGTCTGAACTGTAGTTTGGTGCATAAGCACAGACCACAGTCAGAACCCGTCCCGCCACAAGTAGGTGGAGGGAGGCTACCCTCTCATTCACTGGGGTAAACCCCAACGTACAGGCACCAAGATGGGGGGCAACTAGTATGCCCACCCCTGCTCGGCGCCTCTCAGTGGGAGCAACTCCAGAGTGGTAGAAAGTCCAACCCCTCTCAAGGAAACCGGTTCCAGAGCCAGAGCCACGCGTTGAGGTGAGTCCGACTATATCTAGTCGGAACCTCTCAACCTCACACACCAACTCAGGCTCCTTCCCCACCAGAGAGGTAAAATTCCATGTGCCAAGAGCCAGCTTCTGTAGCCGAGGATCAGACCTCCAAGGTCCCCGCCCTCGACTACCACCCGTCACACACTGCACCCGACCCCTTTGGCCCCTCCCACGAGTGGTGAGCCCATGGGAAGGGGGACCCATGTTTCCTCTTTGCGCTGTGCCCGGCCGGGCTCCTTGGGTGAAAGCCCGGCCACCAGGCGATCGCCAACGTGCCCCACCTCCAGGCCTGGCTCCAGAGGGGGGCCCCGGTGACCCACGTCCGGGCGAGGGAACACAGTTTCCATTTATATAATTCATCATAAGAGGTCTTAGTGCTGCTCTTTGTCTTATCCCTCACCTAGGACTTGTTTGCCATGGGTGACCCTACCAGAGGCAGAAAGCCTCAGACAACTTAGCTCCTAGGATCACTGAGACACTCAAACCCCTCCACCACGGTAAGGTGGCAGCCCAGGGAGAGGATTAATGGCTGATTCCTGTCTGAATTCTACTTCTGCTGCAGGAAAACAGCCTAAAAATGTTCCTTGTCCACAGCTTCCAGTTTTTTTAGCGAGAGCTCTCTGGACCAGAACTGATCAAAGATGTTGTTTCAAACATTTGTGGAGCTGTCTCCTGTAGTATTAAAATTGCATTAGCTAAACAATACAAATATAATAATAATAATCAAAAGTATTTACTTCCCATTTCCCTCGGCCTGAATTGACTCTGAATGTTACAGAGTGGATCACATGCGAGGCAGCAAGGACACGGAGGCCCTCAGGCACGCCCAGGAACCTCATCCCAAGCCATCCAACCAATCTGGATCAGGCACCACAAGCATGCCTCCCCCTATAG